GTGTGTGTGTGTGTGTGTGTGTGTGTGTGTGTCTCCGGCGCCGAAGCTTCGCCCCTGCACCCGCTCGCAGTCCGCACAGTTCGGTGCAGGCTTGGACCCTCCCTCGCAGCACCTCTTCCCTCCCCCCTCGCTCGGCTTTTCCGACACGGCCCGCATGACTACCCTCCGCTCGCGCCTCCTTTCCTACGGTTTCTGACGCCCAGGCCCGGCGGCCGCCTCTTCCCTCACCCCTCGCTGGCCTTTTCGAACTTGGCCCCACATCATTTCGTCGCCGCTTGCGGTCCTGTCCCTCCCGCGCCGTGGTTTTTGCGCCCGCGTCGGTCCGCGTCAGTCCTGTCCCTTTCCCTCCCTGGCACACCCGACGACGGGCCCCTGCCACAGTTTCTCGTGGGCCCGCACCGGTGTCTGTCGGTGGGACCGCTGTATCCTTTAAGGGTATAGGGATAGGGATAGGGAAGACTATGGACATCCCCTAACTATCATTAGTGACAGATATACTAGGTTCACGGGCGAGCACTAGCAACAGCTAGTGAAAGTCTACGGGTCTAAACTAACTATGTCATCAGGCAGGCAGCCCGAGACTAATGAACAAGCTGAGCAGATGAATAAGTTGCTTCAGCAAGTGCTCCGTATGTTTATTAGACTGGACCAGATAGACTCGGATGAACATCTTTCCAAGGTAGCTAGTGCCTATAACAACTCAGTTCACCTTGCAACTAATCGCATACCTAACGAGTTGCACAAGGGGTGGCATCCTAGACACCCTATAGGCTGTCTGAATCCTAATCAGATTCAGAGACTGCCACCCAACACTAGAGAGTTTGCACTAAACTATGAGAAAAACCTCCGGCAAGTTGCTGAGAACATACACAAGGCCCAACATCACATGGTCGAGCAGGCCGACAAGCATCATAGACCTTCAAAATTTGCTGTTGGTGATTTAGTCTGGGTCAAGTCTAAGGATTTCCTCCCAGACAACGAATCTCCTACAAATTGCTACCCGCATACAGAGGACCATGGGAAGCGTTAGATGTCATAGGAGATCCAGATGGTCCCTCCTATACTATAGATAAACCGGCACACCTGCATACATACCCACTTTTCCCTGCTTCTAAGTTATTGCCCTGTGTAATAAATGATTGGTTTCCTTCATGTCGATCTATGATTCCAGGTGATATGGATGGAAGATACGACACTGACAAGATTGTTGACAAAGATTTCTACAGGGCACGTCCGAGGGGCAGACCCCAGCATCAGTACAAGGTCAGATTTGCCTATCAGGAACCTGAAGATGACGGCTGGTACACTGGGCATGAGCTAAGGGAGACGGTACCCAACATAGTTTCTTACTATGAATGGGTTATGAGGGGTATCAACATCGTAGACTGGTAGAGATGGTATCTTTCTCGGAGGACCTCGAAATTAGGTCGGCGGGAGTGAAAGGATTTCACGCTGCATAGACACCTCGAGTCCCGCTCCCAAAGTCCTAGTTGGGCCCAGTCCCAGATGGTCCCAGGGTCTGTAGGGTCTCCTAGGGGTCCGTAGGTTGAAGTGTCACAGTCCGGTACCGTTGGAAATCGAAACGTCGTAGGACGGTAAAAGTCCACCGGTATCGACAAGAAAAGTCAGTCCCAAAGTCCAAAATTTGCAGCAGAGTCCCAAGAAAGTCTGGAGACTTTCAGAATAACAAAAACATGCAGCCGACAGAACAAGTCAAGAGTTCTATTTATAGCTGCTATAGTAACTGCACTCATCAGTCGTGCATTCACGAGTTGCAGAAGAGCTGCTGGATGCTTGTGTGACCATGTGGCTTGAGCAGGCATGCGCCTGAAGGAGGAAGCCAGCGCTTGGAGACCATAGCTAGGCTAGGTTGGCGTGGGTGTATTCAGGGTTAGATCCAAGTAGGCCAGAGAGGGACAGTGAAGCAAGAGGTAGAAGCTTGGAGGGCTGTGAGGTTGAGCGATAGAAGTCCAGACAGTGAGAGAAAGAGACACCAGAGAGGGAGACGGAGCCACGCAGTAGAGTAGAGTCAAAGAGAGTCGGGTACATACCTGAGTTGGATTGTTGTTGTTGAGCGCGGACAAAGCCGATGGATGCACAAACTCTTTTCTTTCTTTGTATAATATCATAATTGACTCAAAATATTGAGTGAAATTCTTATTTGCGCTGATTCATTTTTCATCTTCGGTGTTCTTGTGAACTCTCATGTGAATGCTCTGCTTATGCATGCTAAGTTTTGGGGGTTGATTTCGGGGAGGTTCATCGCATGTAGATGGATAAAGAAACAAATAAGTAAAACCGAGACCAGCAGAGAGATTGTCCTTGATTCAACAGAACAAGCAAAGAGTGATGTGTCTGTCTGCTGTTATGTTTCACCCATACCTCTGCATTACGCCTGAGCATATCATGGTATTTCCGTTTGAATTTGTCTAGCTTCTCTCGCATCTTGCTCCGGGCTGCATCCTCTAGCTTGCGCCTTTGCTCTTCCTCGTTCCAATCAACCTCAATGCCATCCGCATCCTCATGATGTTCATCGCCAGGATCACCTTCTCCAATCTCTAGAGGAATCCAGATTCCTAGGCGTGACCTCCTCCTCCCTCTTCTCACCACATTCTCGCCTGCCTCATCAGTACCTTTCACCATGCTCATGCCAGACACAGCTAACCCACCCTGGGCATGCACGGTGCAAGCTCCTTGTACAACCACCGGTTCTCCTATTGCTGAGGATGCTACAGATCTGCCCATTCTCATCTCCCGTGAGTCAGTGATCTGGATAATGTGCACAGTGCCATCACCACCACCTGATGCAATCCAGTCTGCTTCTAGGTATGTGACACATAGAGCTCCTCCATGTCTTGAACTGTGGCATGGCCAACGCCCGATCTCAGTCAGATCATTAGTGTAGAAGATGGCCAGCACACCATCTTCACCAACAGTGGCCACCAGCCTGCCAGGAAGTTAGAGACCGAAGTACCAAACAGGGTCACTGGTCGCTCCCCAAAATCGGACGTACCATATATAGTATATACTATATACATTGTCACATATCTATGAACTAAAAGAGCGCACTTCACAAAACAAACAATAAAGGCAAACATGACGAGCACATTGACATCATTCTTTTTTACTCCCCCTTGACTGTGCCTCTCACGTACAAGTCTCACCACGTTGATGAGGCTGAGCGTATAGCCTTGCACGTGAGAGGCACAGTGGAGGTGGAGTTCAAAGAAGAATGAGAAATTTAATGGTTTCAATCTGCCCTTGTTTTTTGTTTTTGTTTTTATTTTTATTTTTATTTTTGCATGTTATCACTGTGCCCGTTTTTTGCTTTTATTCTTTGTTCCGCAAAGTGCGCTCTTTTAGTTTGTAGTGATGTGACAATATATATATGTATATATCGTCAAATAGAATATATATATATCTCGTCAAATAGAACTGCCCGGTAAACCGTAGGCAGAGAGGGAGAAGAGGACAACAAACGAGGGGCTGTGACAAACTGTTTC